CTTTACAATTGCCTAAAACGCCATTCTTTTCGGTAAACATCCAACCGGCGAGCCAATCGACTTCATATGCATGATTCATCATAAGCATACAATGTTCTTTACCACTGTATTTTTTGAAGTCATCGGGGTCCATATAAACATGTAATTTACTATTCGAATACCACTCGGCGAAAAATAGTAGTTCTACATAATGAAAAAATCAAGTAGTTTTTAATTATGAAGAACGGGGGGGCAGATATTTCAGTTCGATATTGTTTGCATAACACTTACGTGAGTTCAGCGAATAGCAGAGATAGTACATGATGCGCCGAAAGAGCACAACATTGAAAGGTTTCAATCCCACATGTAATATTAACTGCAGCAGATTTATCACCAGTCCGGATATGAAGAAAGTGACGGCAATGCATAAGTGTATCAGTCTTAACTTTTTAAGCTCTCCAAGTGAAGACATGATTTATGTACAGATATATCATTCGCTGGTATCGTTCTCTATTAAATTGTTTTCTGTAAAGTAAGAAAAATGCATTTTGAAACGATTTGCCTAATTCAGTTCACGAGAAAAGATTCTGCAGCTTTGTTTGTGAGCCACTTTAAGCGTTTTCGTTTTTCATTTTCGGCTTCGCCTATGTAATTTATTTTTTTCATTTAATTTTATGTTAATTACATATGCCAAGTATACGTACATATGTATGAAATTCACATTCAACCAGACTACCGAATTCAAACTCACTTTCACGCTAACTTTTTAATGACACTAATTAGCGATCAGTGCATCTCTGCTCGCCACCATTTAGCTAGAAGTACTAAAATTAGAGCGCTATGCATTCGTTAATTGATGAAAGCAAAATTCGCATTTATAATAAATTCTCAATTAAATATCGATTGAATAGATTTGCAAATATGTATCAAAATGACTACATTTAGCAATAGCGACATTGTAGTAATAAAAATGCTTATCAAACATAAATAGTACATACATATGTATGTATGTATGTATGTAGATATGTGCAGAAACTGCCGGCGCTTCAAGTGTGACCAGGTCAGAAACTGAAGGCCAATTCTCGTTCCGTGAAAAGGTGAAGTGAAAACATTTTTCTTCACTTAAGAGTGAATTTCAACCCCAATCAATTCGATTTCAAAGTGACTTTGCTTCAANTTTTAAAAAAGCCTGTGGTGTGAGAGGATCCTTCTTTGATTAAATCTAGGGGAAATAACTCTAATTTTGTGAAAAGGTATTTAGAAAACACAAATACTTAGTTACTTTAAATTTACTTTTAAAAAGTGACAAATATTAGCCAAATTTCTAAATAGATTTTTAAAAAAAAGTCGATACATTTTTAAACAAAAAAAAAATGCCAAACAGGCTTTTTTTGCAACTGCTGAAACCAAAGTTTCCATGTAAATTAAATGGCAAAAGCTAGGTAGAGTTGTGAAAATTCTAATCTGGTCACTTTGCGCGGGCCGAATGTTATTTATTAATCAAATATGAACTTTGTGTTACCGCCGCCAATCATCTCACACTATGTAATAATTCGTATTAATTAGAAACTACGATAAGAGTGACATATTATTATGGCTAAGCAAAGTCTAACCCGTTATCTTAATAATACGCGTTTTTTCGCAAAATAAACATAAATTGCCGATTGTAAAATGTTTAACCGAATTTCGTATGATAATAAGAGCTTCTAAATACGTTAGACTTTAACCCTAATTTGATGAAACTGTAGTAGGCAGAGGAAGTGCGCTGCCATTTGTGTGTATAGTATTTATGTTCGATATCCACAATCAGTAAATTAACAAATTGCTACCTCGCTTATATAATTTTAAAGAAAATCCGTGACAAATTGGTTAGTGAACTATTCTTTAACAACTTTAAACGCACTCTTAGCTATCAAAAAAATTTATTTATATATTGCTTTTTCGTTATCAATTCGTGTTTGTGTGTACAAAGGAATTTACAATCTCCGAAATAGCCAAATCAATGCGGCACGAACGTATGAACATTTACATATACATACATATG